CCCTCAATCCCCCCAGCCCCTAGTAACTAAAATTCTAGTCTGTCTCTGTGAGTTCAACTCTTTTGGATTCCACATATAGGTGATATACAATAGTTGTCTTTCTCTATCTAGTTTATTTCACTTAGCATGATGCCATCAAGGTCCATCCATGTTGTTACAAACATTAGGATTTCCTTCTTTCTCACAACTGAACCATATAGATGGATATGTATGTATATATATATATATAATTCTTTATTTATTCATCTGTTGGTGGAACTTAAGTTGTTTTTATATCTTGGCTATTGAGAATAATGCTGCGATGAACATGGATGTGCAGATGTCTCTTTAAGATCCTGCTTTAATTACTTTTGGATATATACCCATAAGTGGAATTGCTAGATCATGTGATAGTTCTATTTTTAATTTTTTGAAGAACTTCCATTCTATTTTTTATAGTGGCTGCACCAATTTGCCTTCCCACCAACTAAGATTCCCTTTTCTCTTCATCCTCACCAGCACTCATTATCTCTTGTCTCTTTGGTGATACCCATTCTAACAGGTGTGAAGTGATATCTTATTATGATTTTAATTTGCACTTTCCTGATGATTAATAATGTTGAGCATCTTTTCATATACCTATTGGCCCTTTATATATTCTCTTTGGAAAAATGTCTACTCAGTCTTTGCCCAAAAACTCAGACTGTTTTTTTATTATTGAGTTTAGAAGTGTCTGCCCTCTTCTATTCGGGGGGTGGGGCGGAACAGAGAGAATTTGAGAAGGATTGGCATTAATTCTTCTTTAAATGTTTGGTGGAATTCACCAGTGAAGCCATCTGGTCCTAGACTTTTGTTTGTATAGAGGTTTTCTTTTTTCTTTTTTCTTATTTTTTTTTTTTGTTTTTGTTTTCTCCCACATCTCCATGTATGTGTAGAGGTTTTCAAATTCTTGTTTAATCTCTTTACTAATAATTGGCCTGTTCAGACATTCTATTTTTTCATGATTCAGTCTTGGTAATTTGTATGTTTCTAGGAATTTATCCATTTCTTCTAGGTTGTCTGTTTCATTAAGATTTGTTCTTGGAGGTTTATTTTGTCCTTTTGTTTGGAATATATTCTACCATTTCTTCATTTTTCTTGACTCTCTGTGTTGATTTCTGTACATTACATAAAACAACCACCTTTCCCAATCTTGACAGACAGGTTTTTATAAGAGATCAGCTTCATCAATCAGCCTAGCCTGAGCTTCTGGTTGTCTCTCAAACTTTTGTTATTGTCTAGCTATCTTCTTTGTTCTTAATGGCTCCCAGGTGTTGAGTGTTTACCAAGGCTGCACCTTCAGGCAGCAGCTGGGAAAGTATGTAGTTAGGCCCCTTCCTTAGAGAACCTGGGAGGTTAGCGATTTTTACCTGCTCCATCAGTGCTCATCCCACTTGTATAGCCAGAGGGAAGTAGGTGGGGAGGAGAGTTCCTGAGCCCATGAAGAATTTCTTCTTTGCTGTAGTCCTGTGGAACTCATGAATACAAGCCCCAGGTGACCCAGGGACCTTTCCCTCAAGCAGCAGCCTCAAAAGCAGCGATACCAGATTTAAGTACAAGCTCTTTTGGGGAGCTACTGGCAACTTTGATAGGACCAGAAGAAGAGGGCAAGGGAGGTGTCCATCCAGGTCTCCAGGAAGGATTACCGTCAGCTCCAAGATGCTTGCTAAATTAGAAGCCTGACCTTCAGGCAGCAGCTACTGAAGAATGCAAATAGAACTCTTTGAGGGAAAGACTGGGAGATGAGCGTTTCTGCCTCTTCTCTCTGCACTGAACCATGGGGGATAATCACCATGAGTTCTCACATCCGTGAATAACAGCTTCTTTGGGTGCTAGTCTTGTGGGTCTCGTGGATGCAAGATTCAGAGTTAGGTGTTTTAGGGTCCCGTCCTTCAGGTGGGTTCTTAAAAGTTGAGGCACTAGATGTGAGGTCCAAACCCTTACCCCCTCAGGGAGAGGCTAGAAATTGGGTTCTCTTCAGATTATATGGCACTGTGCTGAGAGTGGGGTTTATGACAAGAGTGTGTCTCACCTTTTCCTACCTATTTAGACGTATGTAAATTTTAATTTTGACATATAGGAGTCCCTCAGCTAGTTTCTGGATTTCCTTGAAAGGGAATTTCTTCATTCAGTGTGTCTGTGGGAGGAGAGGATTTCAGGAGCTTCCTACGTTGCCATCTTTAAAGACTGCCCCTGCCCAGTTTTATAAGAAGTAAATCTTAGTGAGATTAGCTTCTTATAAACTTTAATAGATGATCACTATGAACTATTATGTTGCAGTTGAATTCAGTGCTGAATATTGAGGTGACCCTCTATTAACCTAAGAGTGTTTTAAATTAATAGTCTAGTCATTAAGCCACTGATGTGGTAAGAGAAAAAAGCTCAAGCTACTTTTAAGTGTTCGTTAATCTAAGTTTATTCTATAAATACTAATCAAGTGCCTACCATGTTTCAGGTACTGTTCTAGGCACTCGGAATATAAGTATCCAATCTTGTGGAGGCTCCAGTCTATGAAGTAATGGACTTCAAAAATAATAAATACACAAATAAAAGTAAAGATTACTCATAACTTCTAAAATATTAACTTAGAAAATATTCTAGGTGATACTGACAGCAAAATTCCAGTAGATGACTGTAACCCAACCAGAAACATTTTTGTGACTGCATTCATTGATTGTCATTTGGTTGCTCATTTATGATTTAATTTTACTGAACTCTGACTTTCTTCTGATCTGAATTACAATGAGGGTATTAAATCAAATCTGTGGTTACCTTTGCATATTTTGTGACATCAAACATTTAGATTATGATTTACTGTGTGCATAATTTTTTTAAATTATCTCAAACCAGCAGTGTTCCTTTTACTTTTTCTAGGTTTTCTCTAATGAACTAACTTCGTAGCATACTTTTTGTGCTGTAGTCTAACAGATCTGTAGCGATTTTTTTACACTAATAAAATATATATGCTTTTTGTGCCTCACCTTTTTCATCTGCAAAATAGTTGTTACAGAATTAAGTTACCCAACATAGTTGTTACAGAATTAAGTAACATAATGTTTGTAAAACACTTAAAACTAAAGAAAGTGCAGGCACATAGTAAGTTTCAAGTGCTATGTTTTCTGCATCCCTACCAGTCATTTACTTATTTCTACTATTTCTAATATTTTAACATAGTAAATGGGATATTGTAAATTTTTCTTTGTACACTTGTTGGGAAGCAAGATTTCAATGAAAACTACAAGCAAATATATATCCAGCAGGGCCATATAAGGAATATCTCTTTGTCTGTAAACCATTTGTCTCAGGAGTAATTCCCTTCAAATGATAAAAACCAAGAGATGTTTTCACACTTAACTTTTTTGAAGTTTTTTCTGATTTCAAAAGATGAAATCATTGTTATAAAATTCCAACATTAGAGAATTTAATAACTTAGAAACTGAAAAGGCTATTTATGCATCTACACACCCCAACTCTCCACAACTAGAGATAATTAACGGTAATAATTTGTGTATGTTCTCACATGTGTTCCTAGTCGTATAATATAAATATTTATTAAAATAAGATTACATTGTACATACTGCTTTGTAACTGGCTTTTATTTACCTCATATAATGTCTTTGATATCTTTAACAACACATTTAGTTCCTTCTCATTTTCAACAGCTGCAGAGAGCAGTAATTCTAAGATGCACTTGTGGCTTTCTATATACAAAACCACCTAGCATCCAGAGCTGATTGAAAAAAAGCTTTCAGGTGACATTCATACTGCCATCTACCGACCCGTCTCCTTCTAAGTCCTGACCCAAAAGGGGCCCCAGGAGAGTGACTCAGAAGATCTTCTCAGTCCACATCAGGAGACAAGAGCTTTCTAAGTGCTGGAAGGACTGAGTTGAATGACGAGTACACATTCATACAGCAGTTAATCCTAAGGATCATGGGAACATTATAAATGCAATACCGTTGAACTAAAACTCCGTGGATGCCTGCTTAAAGCAGGAAGAAAATTTTATTTGAGGATGTTAAGGTCAGGCTAACTTATTTTAAAATTGCCATAGGAGGCCATTCATCCCCACTTCACATCTTCCACTTCAAAGCCTACTTTACATCATTCAGATGTTTACCTTTGGAGCAATTAAGTCCTCTTTTATCTTTTCTATGCTTTCATTAGCTGCATTTTTTCTCTTTTTAGCTTACAAAAGGGCAGGTTTTCTAAGCCAAATGCCAATAAGTCAAACATTAAATATTCATTCCCATGCAATGCACAGTGTGTATAATTACATACTCTATTGTAACAAATATAATATTATTTAATTTGTGTAGTAAACTTACACATAATTGACTGCACAGGTATAAAGAGTACTCTGCAGAGAGCTTAGAATATTCAGCTTAGTTGAGGCCTTTGTTAAACAGTATGTAAAGTTGCAGACTCCACAACATAAGGGATTTTTTTTTTCCCCCAGAAAGGAGCTACAAGCTTCTTTGGCAAGAAAACAAGAGAAATGATTATACCAAATGGCACCTTTATAGCGGCATAGACTATGATGCCACTGTGGAATCAACCAGGAAGCAGGGTGTTAAGACAGAGGCAGAAGCTCCTTTCTGCCAGACAGAAATGCTAATGGAACCAGAGATGTTGTGGAAAGCTGTCCCACAGCTTTAGGGCTCCCTGGAACACTAAACTTCCTGAAAGCCATTGTCAATTTGTTGAAGATTAAATAGTAAGTGGTTCAGAATTACATAGGTAAAGCATAGAATGGTCACGGGGCCAGAACTAAGGCAAGAGGTAGGCCCTGTTCTCTGCCTTCTCACTCTTGGGTAACCCCAGAGTCCAAGTAGCACTACGTAGCACTAAGCCAGGTTGGGGTTCAAGATATGGTTATTTGTACCTCAAATAGGTCCAAGTGCACCTTTCTGAAATATTGTCTTGAGAAATTAAATCGTCTAGTCACGCTATTTATGGCTGTTTCAACCTGTTTTTTTCAGATACCATTGTTCTTATCGCTTCAATAGCAGTTGTTTCTGCGAAAACTCAGGGTAATATTTTTGCCACGTCTGCACTCAGAAGTCTCCGTTTCCTACAGATCCTCCGTATGGTGCGCATGGATCGAAGGGGAGGCACTTGGAAATTACTAGGTTCAGTGGTTTATGCTCACAGCAAGGTAAGGTTTGTTTTCTGAGTTATAAGATAAGATGTTTTTTAACTTTTTCATTGATTGCTGTAATATTTAATAAACATCACAAACAAATAGTCATTTCAGAAACTGGTCAAAGCAATTTTGAGATGTGGTATATAATAGATTGTTTAAAAGTCATCATAGATATCCAAGACGTAGTCAAACAAATGGAATCATGAATAGATAGCTCTCTTTTTCAAAGATTTTCCACTGCTAAAAATCTTTCATTCCTTTTTTATCTAGGAATTAATCACGGCTTGGTACATAGGATTTTTGGTTCTTATTTTTTCATCTTTCCTCGTCTATCTGGTGGAAAAAGACGCCAATAAAGAGTTTTCTACATATGCAGATGCTCTGTGGTGGGGCACAGTAAGTAGAAAAATCTGTTTTTATTTATTGGATGCATGAAGTTTTTTCCTTTGAACTGTGTAATGATTCCTATGAATGGTCTCAATAAAAATATTAACTCTTAAAAAAAAGTTATATGGAAATATACAGTACTTATAATTGTTTAAAAAGTTTTCCCATCTCTTTGGTTCGACAAAATTATGTTCCATTATAAATCATTAGCAGTAATTCTTGAGTACTAGACTGTTGCCAAAATAAAAATATAACATGTTTTTAACTGTGATTAAAATGCTGATGGGCTTATTTGTTTGTTTTAGCTTTGTGGAGCACAGATTTAAATTACCAATTGCCGCACTGGATTGACATTCATCAAAAAGTTTATCTAATGTAAAAAAAAGGGGGTAGGGTAGCTGAATAAAAGTTAGAAGAGTAAAATTATGGCACGAAAAGTGAAAAAGAGAAAACTGGCAACCATATATGAGATTAGAGAGTATAGTATAGACACCTGATTTCAAAATTTTCCACTTAAAAACCTACTTTTTTTTATATTTTTAGTAAGAAATGATTTTCCAAATAAATAAAAGTAATCATGACTCATATAGAAAGAAAATAAACATATGCTAAAGATTTTATTTAACTCATTTTTTTATTATTATTTAATTAAGTATTGATGAGAGAACCAGGAAGATGCTACAAACAGTTTGAAGGACTAGCCAAAGAACAGAAACATATAAAGATCGGGAATATTAAAATGAATCTGCAGATAGAGGCAAAACTGGCTTCAATTAAACCACCACTAGATAGAATTTACTTACATGTCTATAGACAAGAATTATTTTGCATTACTACCAGTTATCTTCAACTTAGAGTTGTGAAATAGCTCAAAGGCCATGCCGAGCCCCATTAAATCAGAATTCAATAACCTGGACTTGTATACGCTAAACAACGCATAGTTCTCCACTGAAGCAAAAACTTCCCTACTTGTAAAGAATTCAAAAAACAGTAATTGAGACATGTGCCCTAATAAGAATGTCACAGAATAAAGTGCTCTGATCAATATATAAACCATACTTCTTTTTGTTTTATTCCTTAAGATATTCCAAAAGGTTTATATGCAAAAATATACAGCATTTACAATTGTTTAAAGAATTTCTCCATCTTTTTGGTCCAACAAAGTTCACTCATAAATCATCAATATTTCTTGAGTGTCAGATTGTTGCCAAAAAAAATACATAAATATTTTTAAATATTTTGAATAAAAAATATATTTCTTAAACTGCGATTAAAACATTGATAAGTTGTTTGTTTTAACTTTGTGGAACATAGGTTTAAGTTACCAGTTGTTGTGTTATTCCACTATATATCATAACCTCATCAGCAGGAGCTAGAACTCTTGTCATGGACAAAGGAAATTTTTCAGGACTGTATTAAAAAGAACTTGATATGTTCGTTGGTAGCATAGCAGTAATAAAATGAGTAAAAATCAGAAATGTGTACCTGAAGATTAAGATTTTTTTTCTTAAATTATCAGAGTAAATGTCTACAAGATTGTGCCACTGATAACAAGGCATTCTGTTCATTTGAATTTGGTTTCCAGCTCCTCCCACCTCCCATCCCCACAGGCGAAAATTGGACATTTTGAAAGGAGGAAAGTGGAAAACCCAAAAGAGGGCAGTCATCCGACATTCTTAAAATACTTTTTATACGCGGAGAGCAAACAAAAATCTATGACTCATGGTGCGGTAAACTGTGTAAATTAAGAAAACAGGAGGCTTTTCTAGCCAGTGAGGAGAAGACAATTTATTATCCCAGCTTTCAAAGCAACAATTTGAATTTAAGTTCAGTTTTTCCTTCTCTTTGATAATTGTAACTATTTAAACCAGTGAGACACTCAGGCGCACCTCTTCCCACTGAGATGCAGTTGCCCGTGAGTTCAGCCTGGCAGCTCTTTATCCTTCTTCCTATCAGTCCTCCTTTTCTCCTTATTACTAATAAGAATTGTTGTGTGAGAACCTCTTAATACACCTCCCACTTAGTCACCAGCTGTTTCTTTAGCCAGAATAACCCAAGTAGCAGGTTTTCAAAGGTCATCTCTGTGACTTTGGGGAGAGGGGTGGGAAAACACCCTATTTTCATTGATTTCCATTTCAGTAGTGCTATTTTGACTGAAGTTTAACCTGTGGTTAACAGGTTCCTTGAATGGCCTAATTATGCCTCCATTTTTTAAAAATCTAGTCTCGAATATGAGAGTAAAAATCTTCTGAAATGTTAAGTTTCTAGGAATAAAAAAGGCCTTACTGAGTTTTTTGGTATTAACTGACTCATTAACGGAATTGTGTAAAGCCTAGAAGACACAAACAGCAGAGGGCTTATTATTTTTATTCATTATGAGAACATATACCACATCTCCAGTGTGAAATAAAGTAAATTTAGAATACTATACCCTTATCATGTGTTAATCAAGACCTTAAGGAATATATAGTTCGATACTTTTTAGGTAAAGTTGTCCATGTTGCACATAACAGACATCTTGCTAATTATGGAAGTATCCAGAGTAAGTAGAGAAATTAAGGCATCCAGAATTGAGTGTTTCTAAGTGCTGGGCTTTGGTGAGAAAAGGAAAATTCCTTTTGTTAAAAAAGCCCCAAGTATTGACTTAAGTATCAAAACGCCATTTGTGGTCAGGGATACAGTATTCCAGTGAATTCTAAATACTAATTACGCAACTCCTTTCATTAAAAAGATGTTGTGGGCTATTTCCAAGACTACCTTTTGAAGAATACAGTGGTGTGATCAGCACTGCTCAAAGCCAATAACAATTCAAAGAACTTTGATCTCTAAAAACAATTCCATACTAGGTAAATAACAGTACCTAACTCAAATGGGATAATGGATATAAAGGGCCTGGTACTAAGACCATAACAAGTGCCCAAACAAAGATGGTGGCCACTTTTGGTGTAGTCACTGCTATTGTGGATATTAGATGGAAGCACCTTTATAACGAAAGAAACAGAAAGAGCTATATGCTTCATGGTGGACCCACAGCTTACGCACAGGAGGGTCTCGGGAATTGGGGGTTGTGATTAAAAGATGTTCTGGGCTCTGAAGTGGTAACTCAAGGGGCCCTGATGACAAAGGAAGTGGAGGAGAGGTAAGGGAAGGCAATTCTAGTGGCTCAGGCGCTGGCAGCTACAGGAAAAGAGGATCTTCTGATGGGCACAGCTCCATTTAATGTTATTTCCTGTTATTATTTTCCTCCTTGTTAGTTGCTTTAGATTTATTCTGAAGTAAATTTGTAACAGGTATTTCTGGAGTTATCTTTTATCATTATCTTATTTCCTGTTATTATTTTTCTCCTTTTGATTTGCTTTAAATTTGTTCAGAACTGACTTAAGATCAGGTTTTCCTGAAGTAATTTTTTCTGGTAATGACCAAGTAAAGGCCAGTTTGTCCTCTTTCTATTTACTGCTATTTCTATGATGAAGATGGTGTTGTGGGTTTTTTTAAAAAATACAGCAGCAGATAGTATAAATCTACTCTTGAGTAAGCATCTAAATACAGCCTCCACCTGAGACTGTGTGCTTGAAATGATTACTTCAGGCATGTAGAAGAATTCAGTATCAGCCAGAGTTAGAATTCATGCTGAAATTTTTACAGTCTTTCTCGAAGCAAACAATATAGACAGCTCAATGTATAATATAGTGTACTGTGCACTCAACAGGTCATACAGCCCAAATATATGCCATAAGTTTCATCCCCCCTGCAAAATCTAAGAATAAGAAATGGTGTAAGTTTGTGGAATGAACAAAGATACCCTTGTCCTTGATAATACATTATAATTCTAAGAATCAACCCTCCTTACATTGGGTTCACCAGGACAAAACATTTTCTGGAACCACTTATAAACTCTTGTTTTCTGACTCAGTGCTGGTACATTAAATAAAAGTTAACAAGTGTTTCTTACTACCAATGTATTACCTGATGGTATCTAAGCTTTACTTGGCTATGAAATAATGAACACACCAGTTCCTAACTATTCAAGAACATTGTTCACTGCCAAGCAAATACTGAGACACACATCCCCCAGCCGCTATCCACCCAAACACCCCGGCTGTTATGAGCATCAGCAAGTCGCACGCCTACCTTAGCAGCATGCATTTGTGAAGTGCATTGGTCATAAACTTCTTTGGGGAAGTCTTTCCTAAGAAGTCTATTCCTTGTATAATATCATCTCACACATGGCTCTGGAAATTTTGCTCAGTATTATTCCATAAGTGTTGAGCACATGTTGTATGGAAAATAACAGAACGATAGTCAGTAGACCTGAGTTCTACCCTCGTCGTTATGATTTAATGGAGGTGTGATATTAAGCAATCATTTAATATCTCTGTAAAATGGTGATAGTAATATCAGCCAAACACAAAGTTGCTGTGTGTGTTAAATGAGATTAGGACATGTAGATGTGCTTTATCAAGCACTACACAAATGTTAGTTACTACTATTATTACATATTCGACCACAAGCCCAGAAGATCAATATAGAATGCTAATGCCCTGAGTTACCTGCCACAGCAGAACCCAAGTTGTATGATACCACCAATACAGGAGCTTCTGATGTTGAAGATCTAACCTTTTTGATCTGCTAGCTCAAGGTATCCAAATTTCAAAATTAACTACACAGGTTCTATGACTATGGAGGAGGTGGGGGAGGAGAAGAGAGAAACGAGAGAAGAATGGGGGAAGGAGGAGATTGTTGACAAACTACCAGTGTTAGTCATCCTCCCTTAATAGACCCCCTTATGGAGAAATTAAATCTACAGATAGTATATTCTTAACTTGTTCACATAAGTACATTAGCTATAAACTAGTATTCATAATTGTATCCTCAAAATCAGACCAATAAATACTTGTTGATTTGTTGCTTGAAAGATTTATATCTCCTGGTCTTGAATGAATTCTGCTATTGAAAAAAGTAATAATAACAGTAGTCCAGCTGATGTCTAAGTTATAATCTGACCGTAG